TGTATGCAACCCCTTATACTGACTCTGGAGACAGTGCTGAACTTGCCAGTCCCAGTACCCCATGAGACTGGAGCAGCCTCATTCTCCTAAACTTGCTGTCAGTGTGATTGAGGGCTCTCTGGGAAGATCACACTTCTCTGAGAACTTACCAGGGCTAAGATCTCTTCTGTCCCCTTCTTGAGATCCAGGGACCATCAGCCTAATGACGGATGCAAAAGTGAGTCAGGGATTTGGGAAGGCCCAACAGGTGCAGTGGAGGATGCATCATACAAAGAGACAGAGGCCATTGTGAACCCACCTGGCCAGCACAGTGACTCCCTGTTTGGTAAGACTAGAGCAGTCCATATGAACAGATCATGGGGAGGTTGGGGATCTAGTGAGAAGACAGGAAGGCTCAAGAAGACCCACAGATACCAGCAATACCCTCTAGGGATCCCATTGTCCCATGAATTGTTCTGTGCCACCTTACCACAGCATAGTCTATATCTGTGCAACAGAATCTACAACTTAGGTTTCTTTCCCCACAGATGCTCGCTATAACCATTCCACACAATGTTCTTGTTCCCTTCCTGTGTCAAACTAACATCTCTACATTTTGGTGCACTGCAGCTGGTGCATTGCATCTGTAATTGGGCTGCACGTGAGAAGGTGGGTGAAGCCAACTTGAGCCATCTTTGCAAGATGTTGTGGAAGCATATTCTTATCTGGAGAAGATCATCAGCTGCATCCAATAATATTCACAATCATATCCCTGCTTTAAGATTGATCATGAGGTTATCACTCTTCCCATAGGCTAGGTCCTGGGACAAGAGCAGCCCTGCCCCATAGCTTCATCCACGGCTAACACAGAAACCCTACTTAGCAGACCATTTTCATGGCTAGTGAGTGTGTGGGATTGCCACTTTATGTTATTGATGGAGGAAAGAGGTAGGGCATTAACTACAGACAGAGCTCTGAGGGGCTGGGTCCAAAGTAAATTGTTCTAGGTCAAAAGAAAATGCAATCATTGACTCCCCCAAACATAAATCCATCCTATAGACTCTGATCGTTGTTTTCCCCTTCATACCCCTGTCCTCATCTCCCTCTTACCATTCTCTCTCTCACTCTCTGTGGCTTCTGCACTATCCCCTGAGCTATTGCTTACATTCTGGGTCAGTGATTTGAGGGGATGGAGTAGGGGGAAGTGAAACTTGTTCAAAGATACTGGTTCTTGGTGGTGGTCAAGGGAGAGGATAAACTGTTTTTGAAAATGGGGAATCAACACTTCTTCTCTGAGCTTGGCCCAGTGCCATGTGAGCTCCGCACAGAGTGCTGCCAGTGGCCTTCAGATATGAACCAGTGGGACTCCTGTTCTCAGAGGCTCAGGCTTCTACTGTTCTGCAAAATCTAATCACTCACAACCTGAACACCTCTATGGTCCTACTTATCTTTCTCACTTGTAGTTTTTACACCCCCTGCTTCGGTGACAAAGGGCTGGAACTCCATGACCTTCAGAACCAAAAGCCAGAGCCACTACTAGCTGAGATGGACTATAGCTGGCCCCTTTGTTACATTTCTGCACCATCCCCTACAGGTGATGGTCCTTTGTTGGGATGACATGATCCCCACAAATGGGTGTTGTCCTAAACAATAGTCACCTACGTGTTCACAACAGCATTTTGGACCATCACAATCAAGTACTGCCACTATGTCCCCATAAAGGAACCCAACTGAGGGCAGGATGCCAACTTGACCTCACATAATTGAAGGCAGGTCAGACTGGGTTTAGCATGTGGGTGGTGGATCTGCAGGAAGTGGTGGTGTACATGTAATTTGGGTCACTGTGCCCTCTGAGCTGTGTTCTGGCACAAGGCCAGGGCCTGTGGTTGCTGCTGTTGTTATGAGACCTTGGTCATAAATTGTTGTAGTGGGCTCAGTCTAGACTGCATGGTCCACTAGATACAGTACTAGAAAAGGGAAGCTGGCATCTGGCTCTGGCCCTGCTGTAATTTCTGCTTCTCCTCCTATCATTTGCTGCTCTTTCCTACTTAGTATCTAAGCTCTGAAGGGCAGAGACTGTCTTGTATTGTGTGCATGTATAGTATCTAGCACCATGGAGTTCTGCTCTTCACAGAAGCCTACAGGGGCTTTAATAATGTTAATCATATCAGGGGTGATGACCCTGGCTAGATTCTAACTCTGAGGCGGAAATGCCCCAAAATGGGTATTATTGGTTCTCCCTCTATTTCTCTCATTTCCACAAAGCAAAGGTGGAGGAGCATATATTAACTGCATGCACATACGCACATGCACACACGCACGTGCACACACACATACATACATACACACACACACACACATGCATGTAAGTGGGGCAGGAAGAAGGGGACTGCATATGTGATGTGGAAGAGCTTTGACATTTCCCATTGTTGTTCTGTTAATCAGGTTCCTTACCATCCCTAGAGACCAAATGTTCTAAGAGGCATTTTGTATAAAATGAACTCTGGATTTATAAAGTGCATTGCAACTTAACTCTCCCCACATACAGAGAACTAAGCTACAGTGTTTCCTAACCTATCCTGTCCTGAAAAATAATGAATAGGGGTGGTGAGGAACAAGCGGATGGGGCTTACTATGGGGCGCCATGGGCCTAGTTATGGGAAGGCAGTGGTGTAGTGGAGGTGCTCATAGATGCTTTCCCGTCCCAGTTCCCCACACTTTGCCCTAATGCATGGTTCTGTAATGAGGGCAACATGAAGGACACACATTGACAATCAATTATCTTCCATGAGATGGCTTCTGTCACCCCATTTAGGAACAAGTGAAAGGTTGACCTGGGCCTCATGATACACGCAGCAGTTTCTGTGGCCAACAGCACACAAAAGAGGGCTGCCATCATGCCTGACTGCAACTGACCTCATGGTCTGAATAACTGGTCACTCATTTATAGCAGATTAAGGAGAAGCCTTTGCTGTGAATTTGGATGAAGGCTTGAACAGACATCCATGGAGCCAGAGCAAGATCCCCATAACCACTCTGCCACTGCTTCTGGCCCTCCCTCATTTGGAAGCCGTCTTCTTTATGTGCTCTCCTGTGCAACCAGGTTTTCTATTTTTGAGGCGTGAGTTAGAGAAGTGATTCTCAAATAGGGTGCCACAGCACCCTGGGGTGCTGTGACAGCCTTTGAAAGGTGCCACCTAGATAGAAGAGATAAGTGCAGGTTCTTCCCTGACAGCTGCTCCTCCTTCTTGCTGGCCTGTCTTCAAGCAGGTAAGCACTGTAATGAACGAATTAGCTTTTGAAATGGGGTGCCACTCAATGCAGAAATGTTATGGAGGCGTGCCTCAAATCTGAAAAGGTTGAGAACCACTGAGTTAGAGGATGACTCCACAACCTGATGGGGCCAGGGCCTTTTTCTGGAGGGGTGAGAAACTGAAGGTCAAATTCCTGCTCTGAATCAATGTCTCCTGTTGGTGTGGCAATATGTGGTGTAAGCACTGCAGTTATCTCCTACAGGAAGAAGGACAGAAGATCACAAGAAGCCTTTCTGACCTTGCAAACTGCAACTCCTGTGTGTCCTTACTACTCTTATCTCCCCCCAGTAAAATTGCAGGTGGGGTCTGTCCTCCTCTGTGTCCTGCCAGCTTTAGGGTTTCTAGCACATTAAGGAAACAATCTGCAAAGAGAGACATTGAAGCAGTTGTACTGGTTGGTATGTAGTGTGTTTTTGACTGGCCATTTAAACACCTGCCCTTTGCCCAACTTGGGCGCAATTTCTCTTTCTAACGCCATTTTCCCTGCATTATGTGGCTCATGGGATGAGGAGTTAGGGCTTCTACTTGAGTGCAGAGAAAGGAACCTCCCCAGAGGGATATCACAGAAGTAGGTGGTGAGGGGAGAGGGGATGTTGCTTTATCAGGAGTGACTGTGAAGGGAAGTTAATTTTTAGCAGCAGGAGGGCCACTGCTGGAGGGCCCAGTGGAGAGGGAGGAGAATTATGGGAATGGAGAGGGAAAGGCAGATTTCAGGAATATTCAGAGGAAGAAGGGGAGAGCCTAGGAATGAAAAAAAAGGCAAATGTAAACCCAAAGGCAGAAGGAAAGTAGTCAAGAAAGGAGTTAGGTGTAAGGCCTTGCTGTGGGTAGCTGAGAGGAAGCTGTGGGACACCCATAGAGAGATGTGGTATGAAGGAAGCAGACCAGGCAATACTGTACAGTTATTGAAGAGGTCATGGGACTGGCTCTAGGCAGCCAGCAACAGAGAGGCGAAGGGTCTGCCAGGGTAAGAGATACCACATAGCAGAATGAGGATAGGACTAAGTCACAGCAACCCTGCAGAGAGAAGGTCTCAGGGAGAAGCTAATTATTGATTACATCGGATACAGAGAGAATGTAGAGCTTAAACACGCTTCAGATAGAAGGCACAGGAGCCCCAGGAGAGATCACTGCAAGGGGGCCGGAAGGGGCCTGAAGGTTGAGTCAAGGTTGGCAATCTAACACGGACAGACTCTGTGACATGTGACTGAGTTAGAAAGAGAAGATACTTTGATATTAAGCCACTCACAAAAGATCTGGAAGTCTCAGTTTCTCCAGGATGGAATCACTGTTGAGCCTCAGATGCTGGTAAGACGTTTCTGGTGATGAAGGCTCTGGTAGAAGCTGACAAGCCTGGGAACCAGATGTTCTGGTCTGGGCCCTGCTGTCTTGGTTCATGTGGCAAGCACTAGCAGTTCTGGTGACCTCCCCAGCTGACCTGGACTTCAAATATATCCTCAACTTGGGGTAGGAATTTCCTTCCTAGATCCTTTGTAAACATGTGGAAGCTGTCCAGCTAGCTTTGCCAAAACACCTGCTCCAGTCCGATCCCTCACAGCTCCTTCTACTTGTTTCCTATCCCTGTAGGTGCTTTTCTCCTGCTGTTATGAAAGGATAGGGCACTGGCTGAGCTACTTGCACCCCAGCTGCTGCTCCCTCCATTCTTTTCACCCCACAGAAAATGGCACCACAGGCTGCTAGTGTAGTCCACAGATTTTATTTCTTCCTCTTATGTTCCAGTGATTGCCCATGAAGGCTTTGGGGCCGGTCATCCAGCCCCTTCCTCTACAGAGCAGGGCCATCACCAAGAGGGAGGGCACAGCCAGGAGCACAGAACTAGGCTGAAGACAGGGTCTGTGGATGAGAAGAGGTTGAGATAATACCATTTTGGGAGGGTGGGGTAGTGGTGGAGAATGCTTCAATTGCCCAGATGACTATTGTGTACGCCTCTGCCTAATTGTGACCTCCAATAGTGATAGGTTGGTCTTCACGACACCCATTTCAGGCCACACCATATCGGTTTAGCTTTCCCAATAAGCATCTATATCTAAAATGCTCCCTATCTCTTCCCAAAGGCAGTGACTCCTATTTTTTTGCAGGCTCTAATCACCACAGAAGGCAGATTCCATTTAGCAGTGCTTGCCCTTTGGTACCTGCCCCAGAATACACCCAGCCGATAAGATTTGATGGAATACAAATTACTTAAGATAACTCAAATCCCAATGGATCTACTTTGCTTTTAGGCACTCTTACTGTTGGGTCGGATGTCATTGCAGCCCTCCCGTAAAATATTTGTCACCTTGAGAAACACTCAAAGCAGGGCATTGGTCTGAGGTAATCATCACCCCTTACCTGTTTTTCATGTTTGGAGCAGCATTTGCATTAGGGTCAGTGTTAAGACTTGCTTGATTCCAGGCTATAACACCAAACACCCATTGTGCCTTAGACTGTGGTAGAACAACTCACCATCGTTCTCCATCTCACTCTCTGGATGTCCCAGGGCTCCCCCTGAGGATCACACGTCCATGAGAATTCACCAGATTCGGGTGCTTTTCTTTCTCCTTGTTGGTGCGCAGGGACCTGCGGGCTCCTGGGAGAGGGAAAGGGAGTCAGGGATTTGTCTCTGGAGGGCTTTGCAACGCTGTTGAAGGTGGGGTGGAGGGTGCATCATGTGAGGAGGCAGAGGACACTGAGACCTCACTGCTCATTAAAAGGTTTTCATTTAGGTATGACCAGAGTGGGCCACCTGAGCAGAGTGTTTTATGTTTTAGGATGAGATGGGAAGAGAGGAAGTTCCAGCAGGAATAAATTGATATCAGAAGTCTTGTCTGGGGAGGAACCCAACGGCCGGGTGTGATATCAGAAGTCTTCGCTGGGGGGTCCCACAAAGCCAGGTTGCAGTCACAGAGCAGGCCACTGTCCCATTTGGTTGGGTTACTTGTGTCCTCACCCAACCTGCCCCTAGCCGGACATGCCACACACCGGCGATCATATGGAGAAGATCAGGCTGAGCTCTTATTGCTTTGTATGTAAAGCAGGACAGGTACTACCTTGCACACAGTAGGAGGTCCCCTAGCAGTTGGGTGCTGGACATGACCCACCTGGATGCAACCCTCCTACCACAGGTGAAGGCATTATTAAGACTTACTTGCTGTAGCTCCTGATTGGCATGTGGGCCTGCAGGGCTCTGGCTGGGAGAGATGGCAGATGGATGCACTGCAGAAAATATAAACCTAAAACCCAACCCAGTTAGAACAGAGTTAGTGAGTGACTGGCAAGAGGGGAGCAGGCCATGGAGCCTTAGCTACCAGTTCATATATGTAGCATCAATGGAGTAAAATCAGGCTCTTCAGCCCCAGACAGCCACACCCAACCACTTATCTTAAAGGTGTGTCCCTCAGCCACAGCAAGGCTTGTGCCTCCTTGGCTGGGCACTGGTCAATGGAGAGGTGTTTGATCAGAACAGGATCCACACAACAGAGACACCCACAGCACGTGACAAGGCCTGACAGTTCTGTTGGTCATAAACCCCATGAGGCCCCAGAGAACACATGCAATCAGGGTACCAGACCTGTGCCTAGCCACATGGCATTTCTATGGCAAATGATGCTGGGGGGCAGGGTGCCCTCTTCAATGCAAAAGGCAAACCCTGCAGTCATATCATTTAGTCAGCAGAAGGTAAGATGTTAGTCTTGGAATCAGATACTGGGTCATCCTCTGGTCACTGATGAGGCATATGATCCCTGTTCATGGAGTTCAGAGGACAGGGTACGGTACCCAAAGCAGATAGCTGTATTGCGTGGGCCATAGCAAGATACCCAGGTAGGATGGTTTGAGTTCAATGAGGCAAAGAAAACTAACTCAATAAAACATAGTGCTGTGGGACGGTGGGAGAAGTTACAGGTTCCTACACATACCCTTCCCCATGCTCTCCCACCTGGCCTGGGCATCCTGTGCTGGAAAGCTTCACAAGGGGAAAAGGCAGAAACTAGATAATCTGTAGGTCCTGTCCTGACTGAGAGAGGAACTATTCCCCGCCACACCTAGCCTAATCCAGGCCACTTCTTACTTCTCCTTTGAGGGCTGCATAGGAGGCAGTGTCCACAAATGTAAAGGTGGAAATGATGAAACGCTGGTAGTGATTAGGGAAGGGTAGTTCAGCAGTGGCAGATCCCATGGGCACCAGCTGGGTTCTGTAGTTGTCTCCTGAGAACGGGCACCTGCAGGCAGGGAGAATCCTCCATTCATTGTGGTCCAAACACCCTTCACATACCTTCTTTCCATAGCCTCAGTGGTCACGTGGACACCTGTGCTTCACTCACCCATCCACCAGAATGGGCCACTGTGGATGCTCCATGGGGTTGGTGGTTGGGGTAGCCCAGCACTGGTGCAGAGCCAGAACCAGGGATGGGTCTGTTCTCTGCAGGATGCGAACCTCCACGTAGATAGGGTCCCTAAGTACCTTCACCACAGGGTACTCTCTATCCACATAGTAGCCACTGTAGGTCTCATCTGTGGGAGACAGGAGCAAAGCTGACACCTAGGGGTCCCTCACCAGATAGGATCCTTGCACTGGTGCGAAAGAGACCTCTTACCTGTGGCAATGCGCAGCTGAAGTCGGAGGGGCCCAAACTGAGCAACTGAAGCTTGTGTTGGGGGCATAAGGACTTCAACTTGGAGGGGCAGGAAGTCACTGGCATTGTAGATGCAGCGTGCATGGAGGCTGTGCAGGACAGAGGAGAGTTAGAGTACAGGGGATGATGCTTAGGCAATTTCAATGTTTTATACCTAGCAGGCCTGATCAGTGCTTGGGGATGGGAATCAGCGGTGCAAGTCTGAGCAGATGTTCTTGACACCATAACAGGAGCAGAGTATCAGTGCCTCAGCATGGCCCTACAGGCCTCCAAGGGCCTTCAAAGGTGTGACAGAGGGACTTGTAATCATGGGTTTTCTCCGGACACTCGGCATCAAACCAAGTCAGATATTAGCTGGGAACATGGGTGTCTCTTGCATTCTGAGACTACGACTACCTGCCCATCCCTACTATTCCCATTCTACGCCATGGTCCTCTCCCTCCTCAAGATGAGGGAGGCTGTAGAAATAGGGAAATGAGGTATTGCAGACTCCAGTTCATCATTGGAAGAGCATATTCCTTCCCTCTTCTGATATGAGAAGGCTGAAGTCTGTTCTATCAACACCTGCCCTCTGGTATGGGGACCAAGCCACCTTACATGTAAGTGCTGTCCCGGGTAATGGAGCCACGTGGCCCGGTCCGGACCTCAATGCTAGAGATCAGCTGGTTCTCATAGACCAGTTTGTCACCAATCACCTGGGAAATTAAGGAGAGGGCAGGTTATTCCTTCCTTGAGACTGAGGAGAGCACTCTCCCTGGCTTTCAGAGGATGCATTCTTACCTGGACTGTGGTGCCACATTGCGTGAAGGGGAACTGGAACATCACAAAAGCCTCTGTCATTCGTATGGGGTCACATCCTGCTTGGGCGTAGGCTATCCGGACACTGTCCAGGTTGATGGGGTACTCAGACATGTGCCTGGAGATGACCAGAATGAACTGGCCATCCATGAGGCACTGAACTGTGGCTGCAACGCAAGGGAAAAGGAGTAAGTACAGGGTATGACAATGAATGGATTTGCAACATGATGGGACAAGAGGTCTGGATGCCATACCATGTTCTCATCTTGGTTTATAGTGGCATGTTGATTCAATATGAAGTATCCTTTGTAGGCCAGAGTTTAGGGGAGGAGCATGTTTACCTGATCATCTATCAAAAGGAGGCAATGCTCAGGGAAGGAGGCTTCTGGCTCATAGTTAGAGGCAATGAAACCCCAGGGAGCCAGAAGGCTGAATTCTGTTTGCAGGCCAGCTAGAAGCAGAACCCATGCTGTGTGGGGTGCTCTGGCCCAAAGTCTATGTTTCTCACCAATGGATTTGGGGGTGCCAGCCTCTGCTGCCTCACCATGCCTCCTCTGACTCTGCTCCTCTGAGTTTTGTTTAGAAGAGGTGCCATGAGCCTGCCCAGACAGAGGAGAGAGGCCTTGGTGTGGGAGCAGCAATCAGGCTGCCCTCCGAGAGTGCCCACTGCAGTCACAAGGAAGCAGTCCATGGAAATTGTTCCTGCTGGAGATGAGGCTTCTATAGCGGGAGCTGAATCCACATCTCATTCCATGAAGAAACAGGCAGTGACCAAACTCATCTGAGAAGGATGGGTGATGCTCATGACAGACAGCACCATAGTTCACAAGCTGATGTGTGAGCAATTCTCCTCTTACCTGTATTGCCATAGTAGCAGGGTGTCATTCGGTCCATCTCATCATAGCAGCAGCCAGCCTGCAAGCAAGCAGCTCGGCCGGGGGTAGTTCCACAGGGGATCTTGCCAGCTGCCACTCGACACTGCTCCCATGTGAGCTGGGCTCCTGGAAGAGCAGACCAGTGAGAGGTGGTGTTCTTCACAGGGGCCACACTGTACCCTCCACAGTGCCCCTGTCAGAGGACATCAAGTATCTGCATAGGAGCTGTTCACAAGCATCCAATTAGTTGAGCGGGTTTTATAAATGCTGCTTGTCTCACACTGCTGAGCGCTCCCCCAGTTTCCCTCTAGCTCAGATACCAAATAGTCCAACAACTGTAGGCCACCTACTGCCCCATACAGCCATGGACCCACATCCCTCAACCCATGCCTCCAAACGCCACCAGTCATGACCTGTCTCCTTTTGGCATACTAGACAAGGAACAAAGATAAAATTGCACAGGTGAATTCATGTCCCAGGCCTACTGCTTTGCTCCAGAAGGCCCCATTGTCTGAAGCCCACAGCGGCACAACCATTGTCAGTTCTACCATGGCAGCCCCAAGGAGGAGACAGGGTGCAGGTCTGATGAAGACCTGATGCACAAGATGGCCATGTGGCCTCCCATGAGAGGGGCCCAGGTGCACTGACTGAGGGGCTGGACGTACCTGCTTGTGTGGAAGTGTAGAAGAGCGGCACAGGGCGCACCAGGCTGGGATGTGGCTGTGGTTGCAGCATGGGGTGCACGAAGCCATGCTGGGGCTGTGGGATAGGGTGCACCAACCCAGGCAAGGGCTGGGGCCGGGGCACAGGGCGCAGAAGGCCAGGAATAGGCTGGTCCAGGCCTGGCTGAGGTTGAACTATGGGGCGTATCCGGCTGGGGGGCTGGGGCTGGGGCTGGTTTTGAGGAATGGGGTGGGCCAGGCCAGGCTGTGGTTGTGGTTGCGGCTGAGGGACAGGATGCATCAGGCCAGGCTGAGTTTGGGGAGCAGGATACACCAGGCCAGGCTGGGGCTGGAGTTGAGAGTTAAGGTGTACCAAGCCTGGCTGAGGTTGGTAAGCAGAGTACACCAAGCCAGGCTGGGGCTGGGGTTGGGGCACAGGGTACACTAGACCAGGCAGGGGCTGGGGCCGGGGATGATGGACAGGATGCACCAGACCAGGCTGGGGCAGGGATTGGGGTATGGGGTGCACCAGACCAGGAAGGGGCTGGGGCTGGGGTCGAGGGACAGGACGGACCAGGCCAGGCTGGTATTGGAGCACAGGGTGCACCAGACCAGGCAGGGGCTGGGGCTGGGGCTGGGGTTGGGGTTGTAGGGCAGGACGCACCACGCCAGGGTGGGGCTGAGGTTGAAGGACAGGACGCACCACACCAGGGTGGGGTTGGGGCACAGAGTGCACCAAACCAGGCAGGGGCTGGGGCAGGGGCTGGGGCTGAGGGACAGGACGCAGCAGGCCAGGTTGAGGTTGGGGAACAGGGTATGCAAGACCAGGCTGGGGTTGGGGCATTGGGCGCATCAGGCCAGGCTGGGGCTGAGGGACAAGGTGCACCAGGCTGGGTGGAGACACAGAGCGCAGATTGTCCTCCAAGGTGGAGTCATATTCTATCAGTTTAGGACAGGTCATGTTCACATCATAGGAGGCCATGATGATGCCAGTGCTCAGCAATTCCTCGACACGGACCCTGAGGTGGTGACGGCCATCCTACAGTGAAACAGAAGTGAGGAGTCAGAACTGCAGTGCAATGGACTACCTGTATCATTGTCAGTGTAATGGACTTCCTGCCCTTTGCTAGGTGGAGGGTGGGGTTGTTTAGATTATACATTACATCAGGCATGCAAGCTGCTGTCGTCTCACATGAGGCATGAGGCAGTGCTATTTCTACAGACCAATTCAGAGGGTCATTTCAATATAGCCAATTCCAAGTTAAAGAGCCCCATAGGTATGACACTGACACTGCTGAGTTTCAGATGCATGGAGGACCTCACCTTCTTCAGCACACGACAACCATCATAGCCAGCTGAGAAGATTACAGCCCCTCCCTCGCCTGAGCTGATCCAGTGGCGGCAGATGGAGCAATTTGAAACTTCAAAGGGTGTCCCAAACTCATCTGTGAGGACAAGCACAGATATCACAGGGAGAGAAGAGTGCAAGCATGGGAGCTTAAGAAGAGCTATGGGATGCAGAGCAGGGACAACAGTCTTTTACCTCTAGCCATATAGCAGTCCCAATTTATCAAGGATTGCTTTTATCGATTGTTGAAAGTTGGCCAAGCCTGAATCCTGGGGGGTTAGAGGTGCTATTTTGCTCTGGCACTCTACAGTGCCACAGTCAGGTAGGAAATTGCATTATAAAAGCAGAGTTATAGAGACACTCCTTATCAGAAGGTTGGGAATGTGAAAGTGGAGGGAATGTAGCTCCACTCCAGCAAGCACTGTGAGATACTGTCAGGAGACAAGCCCCCCAGAGTAGGAGATTCCTACTACTGCAGGGAATCCAGAAACTCCAAAAATCATGGCAACAACTAAGTCATGACTTGGAACTTGGAAGCCCCATCCCATGCCTTGTAATTAAGGCATTTCCCTCCTGCCCTTTTGACAGTAAAACTAATCAGAATTGCTCTTAACGTTCTTAAGCAGCCAGGGACCCACTTACCTAGAACTTTAAATTGGATGGTGTGGCCCCAGCTTGGAAAGACCAGCAGCTGCATCGTATAGTCTCCACAGTCATACTTGTACTGTAAGAATGAGTGCGTGACCCGGTGGAAGTCCAGCTGCCCATGGGTTCTTCCCAGGGAGATGATCAGTACCAAGGCTATAAAGCATCTGCAGCCCAGCCACATGGCTGAAATAGCTGGACAATAAAAAACAGAAGCCTGGTTTTGCAGCCACTACTCAGAATGAATGAGGATCTGGGGCTGGGGCTTTATAGGGCTCATGGTGATGGTGGTGAAAGATGTGGGTGAATCAGGTGATCAGAAGGGCTGGACTTGGAAAGCTGCCTTCTGCTCTGAAGGGCTGTGTCAACAACATCAGAAACTCGGGGTGAGGGGGAGGTGGAACTGTCAGATCCCTCGATCAGAAAAACCCCATCTCCTTGGATCTTACAGTCACTCTCACTTTTCTTATTTCCCTGCTTCATTTCCATCTCCTTCATCTTTCCTATATCCACCCTTGTATCCACTGACTTTCTCCTTTTCCCAGGACTGACACTGGGTTGATAGAGGAAGGAAGTGAAATTAATTCAGGCGCGTCTTGCTTTCTTTGCCAAAGGCAAGGAGCCAGAAGAAACTGTTCCTGAAAATGGGGAATCAGAGACTGCTGCTCTGAGCCTGGCCTAGTGCCATGTAATGCCAGTGTCTTCCAAATGTGACCCATGGGATCTGCTGCATATCTGGACTTGGGCTTTCTCCTCTCTGCAAAATCTGCTCATACCCCTCTGGCCCTGTACGTCTGTGCCTGGCTTCAAAGTTTAACAACCCCTTCTCAAGCCAACAGCAGCATTGGTATGCGGTCATCTCCAGCATCAAAACCCTGAGACTCTACTGCTTGAGCTGAAGGGCTATGCCCCTAGGTGACCTCTGTATCACACTTGTATCACATGTTAACCATTTTTGTGAGCCAGCCCCTGGAGGTGATGGAGCCCCACATTCCCCTAGTGAGGGTAACATAATCACACCTGGGCAGGTGTAGTCATACACACTAGTCACACTGTTGCTTAGCACAGCACTATGGAGCAGCATTTCTCAACCCATGGGTCCTGACCCAAAAGTGGGTTGCAAGAATAGATGAGAGGGTCCCAAACAAAATTTTAAAATGGATTCTCCTTTAAAGGAGAAAAACATGGGAAACTGTGGCTTTTCCCTTGCAGGCTGGCAGAGTTCCAACCTGCCAGGGGCTGCTTGCCCCTTTCCCCCCATTACCTACACACTGGGGGACAACCTGGGGGTAGGGGACAGTGGGTCGGGAGTGAGGGGCACTGGGTTGGGGCTGGCCATCTATGTTTACAGTTGGGTCCTGGTACAAAAAAAGTTGAGAACCACTGCTCTACAACTTTTTCAACCAATGGGCAACCATGAAGTCTCAAGATTTCTCATGGACAAATGGGCACCTTTATATCAAGCTTTTAATGGGAAATGCTATGAAAGCACATGGGCTCTGGTGTGATCAGTGGATAAGTTACCATCCCCTCATAAATTATCAGTGACCTGTAGGCCACAACTTGGACACTGTGGGATGACACTATGCAGGGAAAGCTTACCAGGAAACCAGCTTACCAGGAAGCCCAGCTAAAGCTAAGATGCTAACAGGACTTCCCAAACCAGAAGAGGGTCAGGCTGGATCAGCACTTGGGTGGTGGATCTGTGGGAAAAGGTGGTATGGATGCTCTGTGGGTCACCCCGTTCTCTCCAGGTCAGGGTTAAATATGTGCTCCAGCATGGTGCCAGGATCTGCATAGGTATCATGGTTATGAAGCCTGGGACTTGAATGGTCCCAACAGTCTCTGGGAAAAGTTGTCTGGTCTGCTGGTGAGAGTAATGCAACAGAAATGCTAGGGTTCAGCCCAGTGTCTACTATGTCTCTGCCTCCCTTCCCATCCTTTGTCTCTCTCTTGCTTAGCTTGTAAGAGATGGAGGGCAGGGACTGTCTCTTACTGCATGCATGTACAGCACCTAGCACCAGGGAGATCTGATCTCCATGGAGACCTCTAGGTGCTCCCCTAATTCAGCTAATGGATGAAGTTAACAAGAGCAGGGGTGTTAACCCGGATGGCCTGGCTCAGTTCCAACTCTGGAATGAGCTAAACAGGGATATTTAATTGGTTAAATACCTTATGACAAATCTTGTAGGTGTCTTACTGGGAAAGCTCCTGGGTCTACGCCTGTTCAGGAATGTGGCTTCACTTGGCCATGGCCCACAGGTGGCAAACCTGTGGCCTGTGCACCACAAAAGCAGCATGGGCACCTTCTGTGTTGCATGCACCACTGACCAGGGAGGGGGCAGGCAGCCCAGGGGCAGACAGGGCAAGCAGCAAAAAACAAAGCAACAGATCAGGCAGGAAACGCAGGGTAGAAAGCAGAAAGCAGGGACACAGATGGGGCAGGGAAAGAGGGTTGGAATGACACCTGGGAAGGGTATAGGGCTAATTTATGGTATGCCTGCCAAAAACGTTGGTCCCCACTGCTCAGATCCATCTGAAGCCTCAAGATGGAGGCAAGGGCAATATCAGCAGCTTTGGAGGGACACAGCCAAGTATTACCAAAACACTGCAGGCTTAGTTAGGTGAGAGTTTTGCATGCATTATGTGCAGCACCTGGAATTGGATCTGCTTGAGGTCCTGCCAGCCAGTGCAGCCCTGGACACTGAGGACCCAACTCTGCAAGGCAGCCCTTGTAGGAAGCAGAAAGCAGAGATAGGATGGCTCCTTGTGGTGAGACCCTCTAACTTCCACAGGCTTCGTGTATTGGCAAGGGTCTGCCCAGGCCTCCTTACAGAATCAAGGCCCTAAAATCTATCTGGTTGGCTTTGAAGGACCATTGTAAAATATTGTGTAGGAAGCAGGCAACTTCTGTCTAACATTGTTGCCTTGTTCATTCCTTGCAAAGCCCCTCACCTTCACAAAGCCAATCAACTATGAATGTCAAATGAGGGAGGGAGAAGGGAGCTGCAAATATTGTGTGCTGCAACTTCCAGACCACTTCGCCACCCCACTGCTGCTGGTTTGCCACCGAGAAAAAAAAACCCCAAAAGAAACCCAAATAGCCTTTGTTCTCTCTCACTTGTCTGCCTTGTCTAACTGAAAGAGGGGAAACATGCCAGAATACACACCAGTCTGAAGCTCTCCAAGAAAACATACTTTTTAGTACAGTCTTCTTTGAACCATGCAATCACAAGTAACACATGGATGTACAGTTAGATACCATTCCTTTCTCTTGCCTGTTGGTGCATTACCATTTCAATCCACTTTCCACGTTCCTTGACTGCCTGTCAATCTTGAGTGAAGCTAAACACAGCCAGCATGAATTCTTGCAGCACTGACCAAGTCTGTGTCTGACCCTCTCTGGCCTCCCTACCTTTGGCCTCAAGGGAAATCTATCTAACACCTTTAAAAGGCAAACTTGGGAACAAAAATACATAAGCTGCTCAGACACAAAGAACCAAGAATTAAACACTGATATTGGGCTTAAGGCACATTATATTTTATTCAACTCCTGAATCCTTTCCACATTAACATAAGAAGAAAGGTGAGAACAGCACTCCTCCCTTTTGATATGCCTTGATTTTCCAGTATCAGCTTTTCTTCTCCTAATTGCATAGGCAACTGGTAAGGGGTGCACGGGGGTGCACGTGCCCCCCGCGATGGCCGACACTGATGCTGTCAGTAGGGCTGGTGCCCCCCCGACAGAGTCGGCGGCTTCTGCAGGGGCTGCAGGTGCCCTCCCAGATTCAGGAGGCACCCACTAGTCACTCTGCCTAATTGTGTGTCTGCTGGTGTATCAGGGGACACTGGTGTGTGGGCAGCCCAGTATCTCCATATACACTGCCCAGACTTTTGTGTCCTGGTTCACTTTATTTTCAAGCGAGGTTTACGTTCAGCAAGCTGATGTCTCACTCAGCATAGTTCTATTGTCTCATGAGACAGACATGCCTAGTGCTGGTGTGTGTCTACTATCTCTAAGATTTTTCTCTCTCTGTCCCCTCTGCTGTTTTTTTTCGCTATGCTGTGCCTGGCCTCCCGTGATCAGAGACCTGACAAAGAAGGCCTTGCATTTGAAAGTTTGCCTAATTTAATCCCAGCTACATAGTTGGTCCAGTAGAAGATATCAATCTAAGAAATCCTTTCCTCTCACATACCTTCTGGACCATCGCGGCTACAACATCACTTTTACACTACTGTCAATCTTCCAAGTTAATCTGGAAGCGAAGCTATGCCTTGATTAAGGGGATACTGAATAGAGAATATATACAATCATTGCCTAGTCCTCCCACGCTATTTATCACATCCTTGTTACACTCCCAGGAGGGGTCTGACAATGGAACAAGCTGGATAGTTTATGCACTTTTGATTCCGTTTACAAGATGCAGCCCTACCCTGCCTTCTGCCAAGCAATCTCAAGGCAGCTAAAAGCATGCAGTTGCCATGACATCCCTCTTTTCTAGCTCTGCTCATCAGGTTCCTCACCATCCTCAAGAGATCAAATCATTTTTGTGCAGTGAGAGAATGAGAGAGATTAAACCACCCCTCAATGGATCTGAAAGGTGAACTGAAATTAAATTTCCATGTATAGATTGCTAAAATACCAACTATCCCATCACAGCACGCCAATCTGAAAGATTCTAGAAGGGATAGTAGGAAAGCAGACATTTTCTCTGCAGTAAATGCTACCAGGAAAATCACCATTTTAAAATGTTTTCCCTCAAACAGTTTTGGGTGTTTTTGCAAGAACTATCATTTCCCCCACTTTTTACTATATTCCATCATTTTTCCAGGGAAAGAAATCAAAGGAATAAAGTATAAAGGAGGGAGAAGGAAAGGAATAGACCCCAAATTAAAAAATGACAACATTTTCATTTTCAAAATCACAATCTATGAATAATTCAAAACAAAATGGGGGGAGGGAGGAATCACTTCAAATCAGTATTTAGAAGCAATAAATAATTCATTTAGTTTCAGATTGACACTTTGAAATGTAAGGCTTATTTTGCATTTCTGGATGGAAAAAAATTTTCCAAGCTGACAAAATGATATTTTCCAGTAATTGTTTTGTAGTTTAAAAAAATTCAGTGAGCTGTAGCACAAAATACATGTAAGCTTGTATATCTGTTCTCTTATTTTTCCCTCCTACAGCTCATTTCTCATGATCTAGGTCAGGGGTTGGCTACCTACAGC